GGCACTGATCCGCGTAGGGTGACCAGACAGCAAATGTGAAAAATCGGGACAGGGAGTGGGGGTAATAGGAGCCTATATAAGAAAAAGACCCAACAATCAGGACTGTCCCTATAAAACCGGGACATCTGGTCACCCTAGATCCGCGAGGTCTGATGGAGGGCAGGAAGTGCTGGGGGGGAGGGGCGTAGGGGAGCTGATAGCGGGGCTGCCAGCTGTGGACAAAGCAGGCAGCCAAACGATGTTATAGCGAAGCATTGCACAACTTTAAATGGAGCATGTTCTGTAATTGAGCAGGGACGTTAGATCAAAACAATGTTAAGCGAGAGGACGTTAAGTGGGGAGTTACTTGAACCACAGACTTCTCTCTTTAACACCATCACAAATTCAGTGCTCAGCTCTGGGCTCCACGGCAGGTGAGAGCCCTTCGAAGAAGGAAGATAATTGACAGCAGTGTTGAGTTTTCTGGCACTGCTATGGATCAGCTGTATATTTTCTCTAAGCGTAAGGACCAAATTCTGATCTCGTTTACACCAACATAAACCTACAGTAACTCCACTGTTGTATCTGAGGCCACACCCTACCTCTAACAATAATTTTGTCCACACACCTGATCTCTGCTGCTATCAAAGGCAAGAGATACAAATCCATTGGCAACCTTGCTGGGTGCATTGTTTATTTTTTTTCCTTTTAATCAAGCTACCTTGCTGCTATTGTTTGCTAGGACTATATTAAATTGCAGCAATATTACAAATGACAGAAGAGGAAAAAGCATTAAAATATTTTAAAATCCAATGGAAATTTTTTTTATGGGGAAAGGAATATTACCAGTAACAAATTTGTCACCTGTTGCCTTACTGCTTATTAACTTTAAATTAAAGAGGACATTTCAAACATTTGGCATGCTGGAGAAGAATAGTTACCTCTGGCAAACACAGTTCCACAATAATAATCCAGTCAATTAGCCAACAACATTAATTAATGAAGTTGAATACTGACATACCCCCCAAAAAAACATTGTGGAACATTGAGCACAGTTATGCCTCAGTGGGTGCCATATAAAAAATTGGCACTCCTGATGTTAATCAGACATTCAAAACCTTTATGTAAATAGGCATACGGTTGAGGTACTAAATGCAGACAGTCACATTTATTTAAAGAAGTGTAAGTCAAAAGCTAACAGCACTGAATATTATAAAGAAATGGCCTGATTCTCCTCTCACTAAACTGAAAGTAACTCAACTGAACACAGTGGAATTAAACTCATGTAAAATGAGTATAAGTGGGAGAAGAGTCAAGCATGGAATAGACTATCTGTATATAATATATTGCCCCACAAAATGGAAAGCCTGATCTAAAGGTCAACGAAAAACTCCCATTGCCTTGAATCACATCAATAAGTAAAGAGTATCAGACTTATATTTTGCGACGAAAGGGGACAATATATACTGGATTAAAAAAGCTGTTATGACAAACCTCTTTATAAATGTGCTGTTCTGACAAGCCTCTTTAAAAAAGATACGTTAAAGGGATATTAACCAAAAAAAAAAAATTTAAACACTTGCAAACACTTAGGCATGTGCTTAACTATGTGCATTTGCATAGTCTCATGGAGGTTGTAAGATTACTCCCGTGTGTAAAGTTAAGCATGTGCCTAATGTCTACAGGATTGGCACCTATTTGAGAAAGTTTAAAAAAAATCATTTCAGTATCTCTTTCTGAGGCAAAAGAAATGGCTATACTTGGTGTCTCATCTGTAACTACATTGTATGATATAGTTATGTATGCTCCATGGTATTATTATGGAACTGCATTTTTAGGTAGCTCACAGCTTCTTGCTTACAAAGGTTCATTCACATGACACTAAATGTGTTACCTTCATGTAATTACGGTATCACACCACAGAGTAATTGCATAATTCAAAGACCTGGTACTTGTATTTGAAGTTTATATAGAAAAGCCAAGTGCTTCATCAGTAATTACAAAACAACTAATCACCATGTACATGCAGTACAAAGTAGCTAATGGCCTCTGCAAAATAAAGCATTATATGGCTTTTGAGACCTTGTGCAAATTATATTTAAGTGTAAGTCTTCAAATACTGTTACTGTTCCTTCAGTGTAAGAGCTTGTTGATTCAGATGTAAGCTCACTGTATAAAATGTTCTTATTTGAGTTCACAGCTAAAAACATTCTCAGTATCTCAGTTATTTGTATCTCTGTCATTTCTAAAAGCAACATATTGTGTTTCCTCCATTTGGTCTAATCTTGACTAATGTATATTATGTAGCTGTCATTTTTTTTTATCCATACACTTACCATGCATATTTTTTACTTGGTTTGAATAATGTCAAGAAATATTTCCCTTGATAAAGCTAGCTTAGCCAAACATTTTTAATTTTCCTAAACACTCTGTCTGGAAATGGGAAAAACTACTGCACTGGAAAAATAAGATATTCATACGTAAATATCAATGCAAATCTCCTTATTAGCTTGTCCACCGATCTACTAAATGTGTAATTAAAACCCACAACACTGAGTGGCTCTCAGGCTCTGGGTAATCAAATGAGCATTTCCAATAGAGTGAGACACGTTGCAGGCTTGAATCTCGGAAGTG